CACACAAACGCACACACACATACACATTTACACAAACGCACGCAAGCACGTACGCACACACACACACACACACACGCACACGCACACGCACACACGCACACGCAACACACACACGCGCACACAAACACACACACTTATGCATAAAGGCATCATACTCCGAACCCATTGAAACCATATTCAAACCCATTATCCTCCTCCTCCTCATTATTACTATCATTATTGATACTCATATTATTCTAATTGTTATTTTATGCTTCGAGACAAGTGCACTACAGTGAAGTAGTTGGTTAATTTGTGCACATTTATTTATTTTCTGAGTGACAGGTAAGAAGTAAGGTAGGAAGAAAGGGAAAAGGAAGGGAAGAAGAGAGAGGACTTGATAAAAGGGGGAGAGGGAGAAGGAGAAGGAAGGGAGGAAGGGAACTCACAGAAGAAAGGGGAAAGGGAGAGAAAATGGGAGGGTATTGAAGGAGAAAGAGAGGTGGATAACAGGAAAGGAAGGGGTTGGGGAAGGGGCAAGGCGGATGTGGGAGGGAGGGAAGGGGTAAGGGAGAGAAGGGAGTGGGGGAGGATAGAAAAGAGAAGGGAGGAAGAGGGAGAAAGTTGAAGTTGGGCTTAATGTGGAGGGAGGGGGTGTATTTCTTATTTTTATTTATTTTTTCCTCATGGAATTTCCATGCATATTGCTAGATATCGTTATCATTATCATAACTATGATTGTTATCATCATCATCACCTTCATCATCATATCATCTTTATGTCTATCATACTTATTATTACTGTTATCGTTATCATTATGATAACAATAATGATTATCATTATTACTATTATCATTTTCCTTTTTTTTAGCATTATGATGATTATCATTATCATTTTTATTATTATCATGGTCAGCATTATCCCATTACTATTATCATATCCCAATACTATTATTATCAATGTTATCATTAATTATCATTATCATTGTCACGTCTATGATCATTGTTATTGTCGTTATTCAATCTAGTACTTGAGGTCCTTGGCGTAGATCCTCTTCAGATGGTCAAGGTGGAGATGCGAAGAAGAGGGGAAGGGGGAAAGGGAAAGGGCGAAGGAAGGGAGAAAGGGGAGGAGGAAGAGGGGAGAAGAGAGGGATAGGGGAGAAAGGAGGGATGGAGGAGGGGGTATGGGGAAAGAGGGGAGGTGAAGGGGTAAGGGGAAGATGGTGGGGGGGAGAGGGGGGAGAAGGGGGATACCTCACTTCATCAGACATCACAGAATACCCTTGTCCTCCGCAGCCACTAATAACATCGCCAGCAAAGGTCACAATTATAGCTTGCCATTCACCAAGGGAGACACATGGACTTCACACTCCTTCCCCCCCCCTCCTTCCTCTATTCCGAAGCAAGGAGGACGGGAAAGGCAATTCAAACATATTTATTATTTTGTTTATTCATTATTTCCCCTCCTTTTTTTGTTTATTCATTATTTCCCCTCTTTTTTTGTTCATTCGTTATTTTTCTCTTCCATTTTCTTTATTTTCGTTTTCTTTTATTCTAACAGCTACCAAAGGGGAATGGAAACGTTGAGATCTTGGGCTGTCGACTTTCCCATTACGTTCTGTGTATTTATTTTTTTTTCTAATAAAAGTACGTAATTAAATAGGATTGGACTTGGGCTTCGTCTGTGTTCTCCATTTGCAAAATGAAATAAAACTTTTTCTTTTTTCCTTTATTATTATTATTTTTTGTAATCAATGTGTAATTGAATACAAATCATGAGAGGTAAGAGAAGAAAAAGAAAGAAATGAAAGACATTAACAATAAGTAAATAACATGAACAACGTAGCAGCATATCATTTCATAAAAAACATACAACAAAAAACTGGAGAAAAAAAAAAAACACTCAAAAAAGGGAAAACGAAAGAAAGGAAAAAATAACAAAGAAAGAAAGATAATAACTATAAATTTATAACATGAACATAGCAGCATATCATTTCATAAAAAAACATACAATAAAAAACAGGAGAAAAAAACACAAAAAAGGAAAACGAAAGAAAGAAAAAATGAACGAAGAAAGAAAGAAATTAACTGTATATGAATAACACAACAACGGAAAATGAAAGAAAGGAAAAAATGAAAACAATGAAAGAAAAGAAGAAAGAAAGAAAGAAATATGGTACTTACCTACAAACAAACAAAGAAAAAAAGAAAGAAAGAAAGAAATATGTTACTTACCTACAAACAAACAAAGAAAATGGTACTTACCTACAAACAAACAAAGAAAAGAAGAAAGAAAGAAAGAAATATGGTACTTACCTACAAACAAGCAAAGAAAAGAAAAAAGAAAGAAAGAAATACGGAACTTACCTACAAACAAAGAAAAGAAGAAAGAAAGAAAGAAATATATTCCTTACCTACAAACAAACAAAGAAAAGAAGAAAGAAAGAATATGTTACTTACCTACAAAAAACAAAGAAAAGAAGAAAGAAAGAAAGAAAATATGTTCTTTACCTACAACAAACAAAAAAAGAAGAAAAAAGATAGAAAACAAACAAAGAAAAGATAAATAAATAAAAAATAACTTACCTCCCCTCCCGCACTTGACTCGAAGCGAAGACGTCTCCCGTGCTCCGGTTAAGAGTGAAGAGGGGGTGGGGGGCGCCGACCCACTCGAACACTTTGTCCCGGACGTCCCAGTCATCCGGATCGTCCACATACACGCGTCCTAAGGGGGCATCCGATCCCCCGCCCTGAGGAGAGTGAGAGTGTGGAGAGAGTAGTGTGGAGAGTGAGGATAGTGTGGAGCAAGTGGAGAGTGTGTGTGTGAGTGAGGATAGTGAGGAACGTATAGTTTGTTTGCTTCGGGGAATATGACTGTATGTGGCGGAATCTTTTTTTTTCTTTTCTTTGTTTTTTCTTTTTTCTTTATCTTTTTTTTTTATTTTTTTTTGTTAGCGAATTAAAGATGCAAGTACGTGGGAAAATTTTTGTTTTGTTTTGTTTTGATTAGTTACCGATTTAAAGGATATATATATATATATATATATATATATATATATATATATATATATATATATATATATATATATTATATATATATATATATATAATATATACATATATATATATATATACACACACACACACACACACAACACACACACACACACATATATATATATATATATATATATATATATATATATATATATATATATATATTTTTTTTTTTTTTTTTTTTTTTTTTTTTTTTTTTTATTTTATTTTTTTTTTTTTTTTTTTACCGAGTTTAAGATGTAAACACGTGGAGGATTTTTTTTTGGTGTGTGCGTGTGGTGGTGGTGGGGGGGGGTATTAGTTACTGAATTATGTAAGGACGGGAAGCTTTGTGTGCGTTGAGAGTGGTGTTTTAATTCGCGTACCCTTTTTCATAGAGGTATGGGTGTGTGTTGCTTTCAGATAGGCGCCCTGTATGTCCCGTAGGTGGTGGTAATAGAAGAATCTTCGTTATCTGTTTCTCCGTATTTGTTACCACTTGAAGGTAAAAGACTGGTATTTTTCCCCACTTAGAGATGAAAGACTGGTATTTGTTAACCACTTGAAGATGAAGACTGGTATTTGTTACCACTTCGAGATGAAAAACTGTATTTTTACCACTTGAAGATGAAAGACTGGAACGTTAGAATACGTGTCCGGAATGGTGTTTAAACTGGAATACCCTTTTATGGCGTGTTCGGATATGTCT